CTCACTCACCTCACTCACCTCACTCACCTCACCTCACCTCACCTCACCTCACCTCACCTCACCTCACCTCACCTCACCTCACCTCACCTCACCTCACCTCACCTCACCTCACCTCACCTCGCTCACTCACTCACTCACTCTCACTCTCTCATTCTCTCACTCTCTCACTCTCACTCTCTCTCTCTCTCTCTCTCACTCACTCGCTCGCTCTCTCTCTCTCTCTCTCTCGCTCTCTCTCTCTCTCTCTCTCTCTCTTTCTCTTTTTCTCTGTTTTTTTCACAAACACGAGTCCTGTCCTACTTCCGCGGTGCCCAGCCTTTCAACGCAGGCCCTGCGAGCCCGGCGGGTGCCTATAGAAACCAGCAACGCTGCGAGGGGTCGGTGCCTGTGCTGGACTTGCACGGAGCAGCTGGGCTCAACTTTCGACCCCGTCCGTTGCTCCCTCGGACGTCCGCTTTGAAGGGCGTTGGCTTCGAACAGTCCATCTGGTGAACCGAGTTTTTTTCGCCCCATCTCCAACCCTTGCGCTCTGATTTGAGGAGTCTTCGATAATGTTTCATTTAGCCGTGGCGAGCCGTGGGTCTGAGTCGGGCACAGCAGCCACCTTCAGACCCCGTTCGAAACACCTGATGCGCTATTTACTTCCAGTTTTGTAGTTGCATACTCTAGGTGGCTCTTTTGTTCGCTTTTGGTAGTAGGTCAGCTGATAGCTTGAGCTTCGTGGTTGAAACTCAGGGTACGGGCCTATGAAACTACTTAAGTACCAGGTCTTGATTGTGACTGACTTAAACTCAAATCTACCTTAAGGTACCTTCGCTTCTGACATGGAACTTATGGGTCCTAGAGAAAACATGTCTTGAGCCCTTTTTGTCAGATTCCTTGTAGATGGGGGATAGCCCCAACACCGAGATGCTTTGACATTGTTTTCCCTTCAAATCAACCCCAAAAGTGGGTTTGCGTCTATCTTGGGGCACACACGAACAGAGAAGCAACAACAGCCCAAAAGGGTTTGCCCACGTAACATGATACGCCCAACAGACTCTGAGGTGATTTGCAGCCGAAAACATTTCAAAAGCCCCCCCTTCTCACAACGATCATCCATGTAGGTCACCCCAGAGGGCGCCTCCGTGCTTCTGCACGTGCACGGCTTCCGGCCCTACTTCTATGCCCAACGCCCCAGCGAGGAGGCGCGACGAACGTGGAAGAAGTGATTTAGGATGGGTTGAAGGTCGGTTTGTGGACTTAAGGCAGGTTCAGGGCAGGTTCAGGGCAGGTTTAGGGTTGCCTGCAAATTGGCCCTAGACAACTTCTGTTCCACTTTGCAGGGAATCAAACAGGTTTTTGAAACACTAGTGGTTTAAGCGTGTGAATTGGCAGGCAGAAACCAGCAGACCCTCGTACCGCTCCAAAGGAGGGCCAGAAGGATGTGGTTTTGAGCAGGGGGTGCTTGATGCAAGGCTTGGCCCAATCCAATCGCGTTCTTTGGGCTTCTCTGCCTGGATTGATACATCGGGTGGTTCCTCCCAATTCGGTGCCCCTTTTTCTTCCCTCTTTAGTAGGGCCAGGAGTCTTGACCCTGGCACATGCACCCTACCTCTAACTCCCTGAAACGGGTATCTTCCTTTTTGGCTTTCCGTAGATTTGGTCGGGGGCTCTAACTCTCTCTCTCTCTCTCTAAGTAGGGTCCCCGCAATAATGTCGGGGATGGGATTCCCGTCTACAAAACCCCCCCCAAAAAAGGGGTACGCCCAAGCAAACAACACACGCCCAAGAAAGGACCTTTCCCTCGGGTTGTGTGAGGTGAACCTCAAGGTTTGCCTCGAAGCCCTGGACCGGGCGGTGCGCAGCAAGGATGGCGGCATCGCCACTCGCTCCAAAGCACGCCCAAGTTCTGCACTCGCTAGACCCTGGGGTCCAAACCACCATTAAAACCATGGGGGTTAATGTAATCACCATTATTTGCCTAAGGAGTTCCATCATCCAAACTGGGTCAACCGTTCTTTTGGGGGTTGAACCTCAGCTCACCATCCTGATTTGAGCAATCAACATGGGTGGATCCTCTGGCTTGCCCGCTGTCGGTGAGCTCGCCAGAATCAGTGCAGCAATTGTTTTCAAGCTCTCTCCTATCATTTTGACATCCGTATTGTCGAGGGCTAACCTCTCGACAACCCACGATTGGACTGTGCACGACTGCCAAGGAACAATCCGTGTGAGCCTGCTTCCTGTGAAGGCACCGTCGATTTGGTACCTGTGAAAGGACAAGGGAAGGACATCCCGATAATTCCCCTACAAAGAGCTCCATGTTTTGTCAACAACTCAGGAACTCCTCGAAGAGGTGGAGCGAACGCCAATCATGAACTACCAGCCAAACTCCGAGCGCTTCATTCGAGTGGTGATGCTTCCTGGCGGGAATTCAGAGATCCATGTTGAACGGCTTAGTTGTGGCTTCAATCACTTGACTTCCTGTGAACGTGCTGTGCCCAGCAACTTGGGATTGCTTTGGAAACAAAGACAAGAGCTCCCCTGTCTCTCAAAATCGGGGAACCCACGAAAGTGATGTCTCCTTAGTTCCCCTTCAAGAAAATGCCCAAACCTAATGTTCAAAAGCCTCGCGGAGCCTCTTCCGCGTTCCCAGAAGCCACATACAAAATCACCCTGGACTCATTTTGCGCGTACAAACCATAAAGCCATCTCGGGACTGTTCCTCTCGAAGGTCCAGTCCGAAGATCCAGACCAACTGCAAGACGGCGCTGGAGCGCGGGGTTCCGCTCGGACAGGGCATCACCTGGAAATCCCAGGCGGCTGGGATACGCGCGTTCGCACGCGCGTGAAGCATGAAGCAAGGGAACCGGCGTCCGATTCTTGGCCTTTTTTCCTCGATGGGGGGCCCTCCAAAAAGGGGTGGTTGATTCGTTGATGGGTTTGCAAAACAGACGAGGTCGGAGCCTCAAAAATGGGCGGAGGTCCTTTTGCTTTTCTTATTTCCGGAGCCAAAAGGGGCTGGAAGTTCACGAAGGCTTCCGGTGAGTTGCGATCGCTCGGTGATTCCAAGTTCAGCCACTCACCACTCCAAAGGGAGCCTTGGGCACAGACCCCATAGCTTTCAACTGTTGGTCAAGCAGCAAGAGGGCAGAACCAGGTTTTAGGAGGCAAAGGGAAGAGGCCAAACTGGGGTAAGGGTGTAAAGCCTTGCGCAAGGTAGAAAAACGAGCCCCAACAAATGATGTGTAAAATCTGGTGACCCCGCATGCGGGTTCTGGAAGAGGACCACCTGATTGATCTGAAAATAAATCGGACCCATGTAAACCCCACTAAAACCCATCAAAACCCATTAGAACCCATTCAAACCCAATTTGAGCCATCAAAAAGCCCAGTTTGAGCCGAATTTGAGCCCATGTCAACGCTTTTTTTTCCCTCTTTTGCCTGTGGCCCATGGGCCTCGTGCGCCAAACAAACCCGCAGGCCTTCGAGGTGGTGGCGCTGCAGCAGCGGTTCCTGGCAGATCTCTCGGGCGCCGGGGGCGCCTGGCTGGAGGCGCGAGAGAAGCGTCGACGCTGAAGCCGACCTCGGCGCCCCAAAGGGTCCAAAGGGCCCCGTGGTTCTGTTGTGGCCTAGTTGGCTTTTGGTGTTGGCTCTTTGGGTTTTTGTGTCTGGTCGCACCATTGGTGGTGGCTGGTCTTCCCCGAAAGGTGGGAGGATGGTGGTTCCCGGAATGACAATTAATCCACAGGGGGGTGTTTCTCGCAGAAGTGAACCGGATTGCGAAAGGTGACAAAAAAACAAGCAAACAAGGGTGGTGAAGAAAAAAAAGATGGCGCTATTCCCCATGTTGGTTGAGTTGTGCCCTCTACTTACCCAAACGGATTTGTGCCATCTAGTTTACCCCGGTGTAACATTGTAGATGGACTGCTCCAGAATCAGCAAAACGGTTTTGCTTTTTCAGTTTTTGCGTCTGTTCCTACATTCTGCTTTTCTGCAAACAGCGTCTTCCCGCCAAAACCAGGGGCCATACGGGGACCATACGGTTGGGACGTTTTTCGCCTTTCCGCATTCGACGTTCACAGCCGTGCCGGTCAGAGGCCCCGGCCGGGCGCTTTCGGCTGCGGCCTCAGCAGCATCTGCCGCGGAGCAGCCTGGCGCAGCTGGAGGTGGCTTGCGGCCGCGGGTTGGAATCGGAACGCAACGAAAAGCGGTCGGCGGGTAGACATCACGGAAATGGCTGTGGGTCAAAACCAAAGGGATCCCATTTTGGGGTGGGTGAATTCACCACCCATTGTAGAACCTATTTTAGTGGGGATTGGGATGTTCACTGGGGGTACGGGTTTTTGACCCATGGCCAAATGATGTCCGCCAAGGCTCCCCGAAGACCAAAACATCCCCCAATTAAGACTCATGCCCAATGAGTTTTCGACTGGGATGGTGGACTTCAAGAACAACAACAGAGATCATGAGGGAATGTGAGTAATTGTTCGGCCTCTTATGTGTGCCTATTTGGGTAGGATTATGTTTTGCGCAGAAGCATGATGTTGGGACGGATGAAGCCCGATTTGAATACTGGTTGATAAACATGATTTTGTCGATCCGGAGTATGTATATATAGAGTGCTGTCCTAAAGTTGTGGTAGAGCTTTCATGTTCTTGGCGGGTATTGCCGCACACATACGTCGCACATACATGTATCAAACTACGTGGATGCCGGTGCATATATATATATATATATACACATGTATGTTTCAGGATATAGAACACCTGGCGATTGCTTGGTGCTATCCAGAGGCTGGGTTTCTTGATCTGAGTGCTCAAGTGCTCCCAACGTGGCCCTTGCGCTCCCAGCGCATGTCCCTTTTGTGGGCTCCAAGAGTCAGATCCACGGACAAATTAGTGCAAGGGGCTGAATAATTGCAAAAGCCATCGTGACTTAACTCAGTTTATGGTGCTCCAACCCCCTTTCTAACTATTAAATCCCTTTTATTTGTTCACGAGCTCAAAGATTCGTGGGTACACCGAGCTCGGGCTGTGGCGAAGCGCCTTGCCTGGGTCCTTGACTGACTGGGTTGTGTCTTAACTAGCGGCGTGTTGCGCAAACCTTTCGTCAAAGGCATCAACAATGTCGTCATCATATCCACCCTCTTATTGTTTCCTTCATTCATGCTTTCTATAGAATATATAACTAATTTTTTACATACCGACGACACGATAAAGATAGCACGCCCCAAGCTCTCATGAACTTCCGTTTGCCTCAGAGGCGGCTTCCTTGTGTATAAGAATCTCATAAAGGTCAACCAACCGCCTTGGGGGGGGGGGGATTTCACAATGATGTATCCCGACTCCCTTTGATTCCTCGCCCAGTTTGAATTTTTAAGGCACCAACAAGAAGCGTATTTTTAGTGTGTCCCAGAGCTGCTCCAAGAGTCCGTGGTCAGGCGGACACGCACTACAGCTGCCTGCAAGCCCACGCGCCAGAGGGCCGGTGGCTCCAGCTGGCGCCTTTGCGACTGCTGTCGCTGCACCTGCGCACTCGCGAAGAAGGCCTTTAAATCCTATGGATTTGGTCTTTGTGCTTCTTGTTTTGTCGGTTTTCCGTTTGAGACAGTAGAGTTTTTTGTTTTTTTTAAAGATCCTGCACAATTCCGGGGGAATCTATTTGGCCAGAAACACCATACAACACCTGAACGGCAGCTTTCCTCGTTGGGGGGGGGGCTTTTGATTATTTTGTGCAAGCCTTAGGGCCTTGGACTGTTCCTTCAAGCCTTTTGGCTCTTTGCCAGGCCGCATCTGCGCGGCCGCCTGCGTGCTGCGCACCCACGGCTTCGATTCGGAGCTCAGCGCCGCCTGGGCCGTGGCCGCCGGCGCCGAAGCCTCCGCCGGCGGAGCAACCGGCGGCGCGCGGATGGTGGGCTCGGAGGAGGAGCTGCGGCTCGGTGTCTTCCATTTGGTTAAGAATATGTTTTATTTCCCCCGTTGGTTTTAAAGGGAACCTATCACTACTGGACTGTTTTTTAACAAATATGTTTTCCAGGGGGCTTAAGCAAATGGAAGGTGTGCGGCAGATCCCCCCAAATTTGAGCTTCCAAAGGAAGTGGAGGATCAGGTTTTGGCGTCCCTTCGTTTTTTGACCCAAGAAAGTTCCAGAAGAATGAACCAACTTAGATCCCCCTTGTGGCTTGGACTCCAAGTTCCAAACTCCGAGCGCTTGTCATCAATGGAGCCTGCGAGGGATTGAGCCAAGTTCAGCGAACACTCGCCTGAATTCAGACGTTGGTTCTTTGGCTTTTCCCTTGCACATTGTAGGGCCGCTTCAGCTGCGTGCTGGGAAAGCGCAGGCCGGCCTATCATCCGTCAGGGTTTAGCTCTCAAAGGCAAACCAAAAAGCCAATCCGTAATTTGTGGGGGGTCCAAATTCCATATTTTTACAGGCCCCAAATTCCAAATCCCTATTTTTTACAGACCCAGGTGAGCCAAATGAGCCAGACAAACATGGCATGGCCTGGACTCTCCGGGTGCGCGCGCGGTTCTGAGGCTCCAGCAGCTCCGGGACTTCCTGCACGCAGCAGATCCGGACGGTGAGCCCGTTGCGTTGGTTCTACGACCAAAGCACTTGGATAGACCCCCGACTGAGGGGGAGGGAATCCCAAAAGAAGGGGAACAGAAGGCAAAAAGGCAAGTTAAGAGGGGTGCTCCGGATTTTCAGATAGATTTCAAGCAAGTTGGGCTCCATTTTGTGGATTGCTTTTCAGGGAACTTGGTTTTGTTAAGAGGACAAATCACACTCACTTAAAACAGGGGGCCTTCTACAATTTACCGCTGTTTTTTTTCCCCCTGGCAATAACGCAAGGGTTGACCACAAAAGAGGGCACAGGGAGAAGCAGTTTTTGGTTTATCTTCCCTCCTTGGCCTGAGCCATTCCCTCCAGCCTTCTGATGGGTAGGCTAGCTGGGCGAGGGGGGGTGGTTGGGTTTGGGTTTGGATGTGGTTCACTTGCGACGGTTTGTTGGATGTGCAACACGTTTGGATTTGGCTGGAATCCGGGCGACCCCCTGAAGAATGACCGACCGTGCTAGTTGAGGGGGCGGGTGGGATGCAAAGCAATTGAGGTTGGGGGCAGGGACGGGAGCAAAGGGAGGCGTCACCCAAGCAACATTGAGGCCGACGAATCCCTTCCGCGGACTTACAGCGTGGAGTATTTGTGATCAATACACACCTTGTTGCGTTCACTTTGTTGGTCATGCTCTGTTTTTTTTTTTTTTGGGGGGGGTCACGGTTGGTCGTGTTTTTGTTCCTTTTTTTTTCCTTCTTTTTTTTCTGTTTTTTTTTTTTTTTGGGGGGGGGGGGCGGCAGGACATCATCCTGGGCTACGACCTCCTCAACGGGCACCTCAGCAGTGCCATCACCCGAGCTGCCGCGCTGAAGCTGGGCGCTGCGCCAGGAAAGGGATTTGGAGCCCCCAAAGCGGGTGGCTTCTTTTGGGGGTTGAAACTTGAAACCTAGCCAACCCCAAAAAGGGGACGGAGTCTCCAAAAAAAACAAAACCTTTCTGTTTGCTGCATGGCAAAGATGGGTGGTTTCCTTTTGGTTTCTTGAACCACCCAAAGGGACCGAGCCTCCCACATGTTTGGGGCTGCCCGATGGCCAAAGCGTGGCATGTTCCTGAGCAGTTTTCCCCAAAAATAATCTCAACGGGTCCCTCTGGTTCATTGTTCGTGGGAGTGGGTTTGGCCCGGGGACCAGCGGCAAAATGACCACTGCAAAAGCAAACCCTCATTTCGCATCCACGGACAACTTGAGACCATATTTTGGAGCCCGTGGCTCATGGGATGGCTTCTTCCCAAGGTTCCACCTGTTTTTGCCTCATCTTTCGGAGGATCAACCACTGCGGTTTCATGGCAATGGAAAAAGGGGGCTTCCCCTCCTTAGAGCGGTGACAATGTTTGGGTGGGACATATCATGAGCCCCGCTGCGCTTAGAGAATCGAAGAGGCACGCAGGAGCAGACACCCCACCCGGCAACCTCGAACCCGCCTGACTTTTCTTTTCGTGAGCGGAAAGCAACAGTTGGGTTCAGGCACCGGGTCGATCTTTAGTACGGAGTTTGGCAGTTAGGAACCGCAACATATGAGCAGAGTTTGGTCTGGATCCTTCATCCACCTGCTCTGTTTTCTTCTTCATTTCCTTTACAGCACTTCAGCACTCCCCGCCCCCCCCCGGCCCGGACCCCTCCCCGAAAGAACGCCCCAGAAAGGCTCCTTATCTGGAAGAGTATTGCTAATGTGGAGGGGTTGGGGGGGGGGGCGGGGTGGGCTGCTGTAGGGCTACTTATTCTTTTCCTGTTTTCTCCGGCCTTCATGTTTTAATCCCATGCTTTTTAGGATCAGGATCAGAAGACTTGCACAAATCGATAGAGTGCATCCCATCACACCCATTCGGGTTTTGTTGCTGTCTGCAGGCTTTCTCCACCCACATAGCTCCCTGAGACCGGGTGATGATGGAAGCCCACTTTCTGCGTTCTCTACATGTCCTTCCTTTGGTCACAGCCTTTCGCTCGAACAGATCCCCCCCCACAACCCATTCTGTTTGGCTGCCCAGATTTCAGCCCTCAGCGCCCTGCCCCAGACCTCTCGGCCGGCAGCGGGTGCCGTTGCAGGAAACAAGGGTGGGGGCCTGTGCCTGGGGCGGCTCTGTGGGCAGCCGAGCCGGGTCAAGAACTCCACCTTCGAGACGCGGCAGCTAGGTGCGGGGGGGGGAGGGGGTTGGAGGGGTTGGAGGGGGTTGGAGGGGTTGGAGGGGTTGGAGCCCTCATTGGCGGTTTGGATTTGGTGGTTTGATGGAAACTATTAACCCTCTGCAAGAAGCAGGAGTTCAAATCCCTACCCCGGGTTGAGGCCCGAATTGGTAGTTTGGATTGGTTGTTTGATTTCCCATCAACTATTAACTATTAACCCTCTACTAAACCCATCCAACCCACCAAGGGCCTGACGTATTCCATTGCCAGGCAAGCACGAGACCAAGGACATCACCGCTGAGGGCCGGCTCCTCTTCGACCTGCTGCGGGTCACCGAGATGGAGCACAAGCTCAGCTCCTCCGGCGTCCAAGAGCTCCGCTTTTCCCTGGGAGGGAAAGCCATGTACGCCAAAGAGGGTATAGGAAACTATGCCATGCCTTTTGTGTCAAAAAAGAAGAGGGGGTTTCCCTTTAAAATCAACCGATCATTTTGGAGTGGCCTTTTCCTTCCATAGAAGTCCACGGAAGATCTTGGGGCTGAGAGTGTAGTTTTGGGCCAGAACAACTCCAGCTCCAAGTGATGAGGTTTTTCTTCGCTGTGGATGCATTATTGAGCCGGCAGAATTTGGGGGAAGTCTCGCCCTTTTGATTCTCGATGGTCTTTGTGCAGCTGGTCAGCGTAGTCCTCAACCCCACTCGGAGACGCAACTGACGGACACGTCTGAAACCGCAAAATTGCAAGCCTTGTTCTGAGAAGCGAAACTTCGAGTCCAGCAGCTTGTTTGCAGAACACTTCCTGTGAATCTCGTCCCTTTCCCTTCCTCTTCCCCTTCCCCTTTTCTCCCTTCGGAACTGCACCCAGAATGGGCCTGGGGTTTCCCTTTAGTTTTCTGTGAAAGCAACCCCAAACAGGATACGAACTCGCTTTGGAGACCATCCCCCGGGTCAATCAAGGCTCCTACACCCTGTCTGCGCTGGCGCTCCACTTTCTCAAGGAATCCAGGCAGGGCAGATAAGTCCACCGGTTTCAGTTTGGCGATCCGGTGGAATTCACTCGCGCCAAAGATCACCGCATTTTAGGTTTGGAGCATTTCAATTAAGGGTCTATGCGAACCGCAAGTACCGGGGGGGAAGAAGTTCCCCAAGAAGAATCGCTTGCCCCTTGACGCTGTCTCCCCAGATTTCTGAAAATATGGGCAACTTTGACTCTTCAACATGTTTGCCATTGGGACATGGCCACTCATCAAACTCCTGTGCCAGTAGAGGACACAAATGACATAGACCGTGACTCACTTCAAATCCTGACCACGCATTTGTTTTTTGTTTTTGCGGCACATCGATTTTACTGGTTCAGACTACCGGCCATGCGCAGATCACCTCGTGGTTGTCCAGTCAAGTCAGACCCCCGCGAAGGAGGGGCCTCTGGGTTCGGAGGAACGGCGCCTCATTCATGGGCCAAATGTGAAACAACCAGCTGCCACGAACCACTTTGAAGGACAACCAAGGAGCTCACATGTTCCAAGCAGCTGTGGTTTAAGCATGTTCTCCTCAGGCCCAAGATTTGACCGCCAGTCAACATGCCGCCATATTGGATATGTCGTGCATC